CGTACAGAAACACGTAAGACAGGAAAACGAATGAGGTCGTAAGCTGAGCGCCAATCGTTCCGGCCGGAAGTGATTTTCGGACATCTTTCAAGTCTCCTGTAGAAAAAAGTTTAAATCTTAATGTGGAAAGGCGTTTTGTTTTTAAAAGTTGAAACACAGTCTTCCTTATGCAAAATGTATCGTTAAGTCTTTCAGTTCACTGGTATAACTCAGTACAGCAATACTATCATGTGAACCTCGGCATCGAAAGAGGTTTTCTTCGGCAGTCATATAGAGTACTACTGAACCTGAACTAAACCAATGTCGGTTTTCTTTAGCTTTAAACATTATGAATAATATTCCGCAAATAATACTATAAAATTGCACAATCTTGGACGAGTTATGCGTTATTTAACATACTGCGGCATATGAACATATTTTTCACGTTTATTCGGCAGCAAACAGGGAACACCAGCTCCTAAACAAACATAAGGTAGCTCTAGCGAGCAAAATGATGCCAGATTTGTCAACCGCATTGCAAGTCTTCAAAATCCACGAAGCCGTTACCGGTTTAAATGACGCTCATAGGCAACGGTGGGCGAGGAGAGGAGCAAAGTGCTGTGCAAGCTGGTCTTGGAACAGTTATGGGTCATTTATAAAATAATCAGCGGATTATGATGAGGTTTTGTGTAGAGTGGAAACAGACTATTACAAAACTTTACTTAATCAATTTTGTTTCCCAATGAAAGGGGAGAAATAGCTTTATATGAGGAATTTCATTAATTTCAATGTTCAGAACATTATTTCAAATGTCCCAAAGTAATTAAGCTCCTGTTTGTGCTTTGACTTCATCGATTACAAAAAGAGTTCTGCATAATCAAGCTCAATGGAGTGTGGAGAACAATTACAGTACATCGACACATGCTATGCTAACTGTCTCAAGGAAACGATCTCTAAATACACCAAGTGCGGTATTCAAAAAGACACAGTTCTCCAAACCCTCTCAAACTATGTATGGAAACGTGATTCATACGGACAGAAAGGGAAATAGAAACAAAGTTCGATACAGAACAGCGAAGCTACCTGTGATTCGTTTATACTTGCAGATACCGTCAACCTAGAAGGAACGGAGCTCCATTAAGAGAATGACAAGGTCGACTAATAATCGATCGGTCGAAGACAAATTACATAGGACCAGATATCCTTGAGAAGGCCAAGTAATAATTATTAGATATGTAATGATTATGCTGAGCTTACAGAAGAAATGGAAAGTAACGCCCGTTCGGCCAGCATATCCTCATGTCAGAGGGCTTAGGTCTGACCCCCGGAAGGAAAGAGGGTTGGAATGCGTCGAACTCCATCGAAAGCATCCCGTCTTGGAAGACTAGCAGAACAATATGGACCTATGTCCTCAACAAAATTTCAACAAATCACGTCTGCGCTTCTGTACGGCGCGAAACATGGCTACTGGGAAAGGCGGAGCCTCGAGCTTCTGTTACCGAAACAGCCATGAGAAGAAGGATATTGCGGACTTCGCTCCGGGACTGCATACCCAACGCAGCAATCGGACAGTAAACCACAATGAAAGGTACCATTACGGAAAGCAGGACGAGTACCTACCTCAGTTGACATGGGACACGGACAAGTGACATCCGTGGAATCGTAAAATACACTTTGGGCGCCAGCCAAGAAGATGAGGTGATTTTATTTCAGATTTACGAGGCCGTCGCTAGAGAACAGTGCATAAACAATAGAAGCACGGAAATGCTGTGACCCAAAACTTATCGTAATTCTGAAAGCCGGTTGATCAAAGTGATTTTAAGCACCTGAAACGTCAATAATCGTGCCATTTTTCTTACGCAGTTAAAGAATGCACTCTTGTGCCATCGGTGCAGACTAAGATCTCTCCTCATCTCAACGTTACCGTGTGTTCCTCCTTATAGCAGAGTCGGCTTCGGCGTATAGCGAGGGTTAAATAGCATGACAATGTAAGGAAATAGTGCACTTTCTTCTGAGAATACGTGACTTTAACAGATGTGATGATTAGCCAAAGAAGGTTGTCCCTATTAGATAAACTGATTAAGCATAGATCATTCACTCTAGCTCATGAACTTCTCGTGCGGTAGACGAAAGACAACGATTCGACTAGGAGGCCAGCATGAAACCTTGAGGTACGAGGTAAAGGAACATACTTCTACGATGCAGTCATTCACACGTTATGGCAGAAGAGTCGGAAAGCTGTAGGT